AGTTAGAGAGACAGACAGATAGATGGACAGACAGACAGATAGACAGACAGTTAGAGAGACAGACAGACAGTTAGAGAGACAGACAGACAGATAGATAGACAGACAGACAAATAGACAGACAGACGGACAGATCAAACTGCACATTTTTACACCTGTAGATTGTTACGACTAAACACAGGTCAGTGTTGAATGTCCACAAGTCAGAACAGGTTTTTTAATATCTTTGCTGAACGATCATACTCTGGTATCTTGTTGTACTACAGTCACAGTGTGCAGGTCTGAAGGATCTCCGTGTGTCCGCTTCACAGGTCAGTATTGTTCAGGAGTCAGATGGCACGCTGAATAAGTCCTGAAATGAAGTTATCCAATAAGAAGAGAATGCAAGGTTGGGCTCCACTCGAAATTCCAGTCAATTACTTTCAGTCATTCTTTGAATACTTGTGTTGTGTTTTTCAGATGCTATCTGGGTATATTTCAAAATTCAATATCATTTTCAGTAGTGAGTACAAGTAAGAAAACTTAAAATATGGCTACATTCAATCCCACTGATATAAAATATACTTTTTTAATGCACAGTTCCTTTACTGGATGATGATGATTGGTCAATATAGCGTTCCAGTCAATACACATGAAATTATATAAAAAAGTCAGTCTCGCTCTTACATTCTTAAATTACTTTATTTATTTGAATAATTTTCAATACATTTAATTTTATGTAATGTATTTATATTATACTGTATATTTAGAGGCCAACTGCTAAACAATACAGGGCCGGTATTTTCTAGCAACAAAAAATAAGAGGTACAAAATAGCAGAGATTTTGATATGAGTTGTAAATCATTTAAATAACTCAACTGGTTTTGGTTCCTGTAATGTGATAACCACAGTTCTGTGCACAAGGATATGATGCACTTAAAATAAATTTAAAGTTTCTATGAACAATGACAAAAAGTATGGAAATGCTTGTCCGACAGTTATTGAACAATGTGAGAGGCTCACATTGTGAGCGGGCCTTTAGAATTCAAACGTCAAAAATGTTTGACCACAAAAAACAAACCAAACAACATGAATTATAAGTATACACTTATTTCACTTAAAGTATGTAATACTGCACCATTAATGTCAACTAAGCAATAGTAATAATCATTGTTCTCAAACAGGTTTTTCCAAACACTCTCCCCATATTCCATTGGTCAACCAAGCGGATTGACCCGCCTCAAACTCACACCATTGGTTGAGCCCATGTTGCTGTTAGACATCAAAACATTATGCGGCCTGAATGTCATATAAAATTAAAGGGATAGTTCACCCAAAAATGAACAGTCAGTCATTACAAACCAACCAGGTTCATTCTTGCGTGTCACGGGCGCACATTTGAGCTTCTGTTTACCATATTTAATGAGCTCTATCTATGTATGTGTGTTGATCAATGTTTACATATTTAAAAGCCTAAATTAAATCTGGTTATAAACCGATTATCTAGAAGACTGATTAAACAGTTTGATTCATATGGATTACTTTTACAATGTCTTTATGAACTTTATGATGCTTGAAAGTTTTTGTGGAATGGACTTTCAACGGGAGGACAACAATCTCTCAGGTTTCATTAAATGATTTGTGTTTCGAAGATATATCAAGTCTTCTGAGTTTGGAACGACACGAGGGTGAGTAATGACATAATTTTCATTTTTTAACGAACTATCACTTTAAATCCTTGATTTCTTTAGAGAAATTTCCAATAGTTGCAAAAGGTCTATAATTTTTGCAAGCTAAAAACAGACCATGGTTTCTTTACCACGTTCTCTGGTGGGCAACACATCTTTCCCTTGTTGCATTTTGAGCAGGAAAATCCCTGGCCAACGTGACGCGGACGCATTCAATAAAGATTACAGTAATCCGACTCAATCTCCTGAACAGGTGCTTAGGCAAACTCAGGTGTGGATTTCCATTTAGAGATTTAGCGCACAGCAATAAAACACCCTCATATGGAAACAATAAAGACCAACATCTAGCCTCCCTTTTGCTGAAGAACTGTAATTGTCGGTATTGACACAATATCTATTAAATATACTGAGATATCGAGTTCAAGAAAGTACAGTTAGACCACCTGAGCAGTGGAGTATCATCATCACTCAGACTCACAACTTCTTCATCTCCTCAATATATGGCATGATCTTGTGACTTTTAATCTCGTTGTCAGTTTGTTTCTGCCAGATCGGGGCAATAACTCAGTGTTCTGCCTCTTAGTAATATATAATATAATAACTTACTTACTATAGCTACAACATATAGCCTATATGTTTATAGCACAGCATCTTTTAGAATCTTGCCTATTTGTTTTTAAAGAGGTCCTATTATGCTCATTTACAGGTTCATCATTTTGTTTGTGGGGTCTACTAGAATAGGTTTACATCATTTAATGTTCAAAAAACTCTATTTTCCTTATAATTTACATTGTTGCAGCACCTGCTTTCACCCTCTGTCTGAACGCTTTAAAACCTGCCTTCTAGAAAGCACAAACGGCTCTGATTGGTCAGCCGGCCTCTGGTCTGTTGTGACTGGTCGACCGCATATAGCATGTGTCGGAAATGTTAATGTAATGCCCCTTAAAGGGTTATCTCACCCAAAAATTCTAATTATCCCATCATTTACACACCCTCACGCCATCCTAGGTATGACTTTCTTCTTTCAGTAATATTCTACATGTACATGACTTCATTATGTTGCATGTTTAATTCAGCAAGTGGAATCAAGTTATAATCTTCTAAATAAAATGGTAATTTTGCATTTTTATCCAGATCTGTGTGTAAATGCCTTAACATTTGGCTGGTAAATCAAATTAAAAAAGGATATAGAAGGTTGTATGGAGTGCATTGCGTTATTGGAGACGATAATCCACACAGTAAGCTAATGTTCATTTATGCATATGTAGGTCAACCTGATATTATATGCATACAGAAAATTTGCATACTGTGCTGCACAGTAAACATAATAAAGTATATGCACAATATGCACATTTTCTCCATATGATAAATAAATCGAGATGAATGACACACACTACATGAGTGACCCACATACAAAGTATATAAAATAATTTTATGTGTGAAATACTCTATCCAACAATGCAATGCACTGAATCTGACTATCCATTTCCAGTGATGGATGAAACTAGAGCAAATCAGCTGCAATTTTTAACAGCCTGATCCATTATTAAACAGGCTCCCAGAAGTTAAGATATTTGTATACAAATTGCATTATTAAATATAATAACCAGACAACTGAATTAAGCAGTTTGAAATGTTTATTGAGGTATATATACATATAATTTTAAAGTGACAAAAGTAGCAACAAAAACAGAAGGACAATACATTATATTTATTTCATATAGCTAACACACATAATAAAACATACAAAATGTATCATTCCTGTATCAATTATTAATTCAAACACATCTGACAACGTTGAAAAACACATTCGAGAACATGGACTGACCAAAAACATCAAAGTCAAACACACAAAAGCCATCTAGCAGAATAATGTAGCATATTTGTGTACAAAACAACCGCAGAAATCATTTCAATACCAACCACACAGATCAAAGGGGACAACATTTACTTTTACCGACTTCTATGCAAATTACAAAAACCGAGCGGGAATTTCCGAGCAGGATCACAGCAATAAATCACCGCGGGGTAGAAGATAATGAGGAGGTGGAACGTTTCGCTGTTAATGAGAGGGACTGAAATGAAGATGCTGGATGTAGATATGAAATTATATGATAACAGAAGGGCCAGCAATGGCAAAAAAATAACACCTGGGTTCAAAGCCGAGGTGCGTCAAGGCACACTGTGTGAAGTTCAGTGCTGCTTTTGGTCAAAGCACCTAAAGCCTTGTGGTTGCATAACAAGATCCTTGTTTTTTCTCTCTCTCTCACAGAATTGAGCCAAATAAGCAGGTTATAAAATGGAAGAGTGTTACAGTTGAATCAGAAATGCTGGGAATTATACAAAGCGGCTTGATTGTGTCTGCTGGTGCGAGAAAAAACACACATTTCAGAGCTCAAACACACAAGAGGTAGAACAGATTCTCTCTGCTGATATTAATATTCTTGTAGATGAAACATCTCTGAAGATTCTCAGTCAGAATTAGATCATCCATAATGATGCACTTTTTGAATTCCAGGCATTCGATTCACCCACACATCAAGAAAATGCTTACGGCATGCTGTGAAAACATTCACAATATGCATAAAGTTTGGTGGATTGATGGCCATATGCACTTGCTAAAACAGTTTATTATCCCACATTTCGAATACAGGTGACCTTTACGTCACATGACATTTATGCAAAAAGAGACGCGATGATTCTCCAATGATATGCACTGAAAGTGCAATGGAAGACTGAATCCAAGCAGCAATCATAAGGAAATAAATAAAACATCTACAATACATGATCTAGCATAGGTTTACAATAAATTGGGAAGGAAATGTTATGGAGCTGGTTATCGATTTACTTATACAGTATATAGATATGTTCATAATGAGTTACGCAATACACTAGCAAACTGGAAGATTTGAGTTTTGTTTTGGTGATGCTGTCACAAGCTCTTAGTGCTGGTTATATCCTGGATTACATTTCGGCGAAGAATAGGTAGCACTTCCAGTATATGATTCAGAATTCATATTTTCGATAAAAACAAACCCCTGTTTCCTGTAAGCACCCAGCGAGCGACTGCTCAACGACTTTTCTAAATCCGGAGGGGTGAAGCGCCAAACCGACAGCTATAAATCCCCCAAAAGAAGCTCAAACATGATTTACTGTAAACATCATTACGAAATGATATGCTTCTCCCCTTATAAAAATGATCTTATAAAACTTCCGATGTGGATTAAATCAGGAAGAAAGAAAAAAAAATACTATGTTGTATATTATACAATAAATAATAATCCTCATTTAGAGTTCCTATAGAAAGAGTCTGCTGTAAAACTAAATGCCAGCAAACTAAATTATGGCACAGCTTGTTTTCATCAAACGGAAAAAATAAAATAACAGTCGAGCGTTTTATATTGTGATATGGAACGAGTCATGTATCCAGCTGTCCTTGGATGTCCCGTTTTTAGGAGATGTATCATTTCCATCTGGCGTTTCGGTTGGCGTCAGACCGGATTCAGCGTAATATTCCTCGTCCTCATCGAAATAGCCGTTCTCCATCCCGTACGGCCCATCGGCACTGGACACAGCGGAGAGGTCCTGGCAGCTGCCCTTGTACTCCTGGATGGACTCGTGAAGGGACCAGAGCTGACAGAGCAGGGACATGTCCTGCTGCCGCAAACCCACCTGCGCAAACACACACTGGAGTGAGTACTAGAGATCAAAGGGATACTAGAACAAACATTTACTTTGAAATCTACCTGTGGTATTTAGCCAAGTCATATAATGTATATTTTGAGCTTGCATTCCACATCTTGTGTTACCACATTTGTTCTAACATGGTAATGGTTCTAGTCAGCACAGATAAGGTCAGAACATGGGAATTGTGAACTTTGTAAGTGTACAGACAGTTTAATAAGAAGATATTTTAAACATACAGTCAACTTCGCGTATACAGGCAGAAGCCATCTTTGAAATACAGCCTTTACCAGTCGATCTACGAACGCCGATCCAAGTGCGCTGGTGAGATGTGAACGAGCTATAAGTTGTGATAAGGTGAGCGCGAACAGTAGGCTTGGATCGGCGTTCGTAGATCGACTGGTAAAGACTGTATTTCAAAGATGGCTCCTGTCTGTATACGCGAAGTTGACTGTATGTATAAAATATCTTCTTATTAAACTGTCTGGACACTGACAAAGTTCTCAATGCTTCGGTTTGAAGGTAGGGACCCTCATTATGCTACCGTGCTAGTGTGGGGCTATGTTGAGCCTTGTTAGTGGTATTAACAAGCGATTTTTATTTGTCATTACACTATGCCCAATATACTAGCGTTATACTAGCTTTATAGGCTAAACTGTTTTTAGAGATAAAACTATTTACATTCGATAATCATGAAAACAAATCTCAGATAACGGTTGACTAGGTAACAATGTGTAATTAGACCAAAGGTTCATTTTGCGCCGGAGTTCTCCTTTAATGTTCGAACCGAACATTGTTGGATATCACAAAAGTGTTCAAAACATTATTTCAAATCAAACATTTTTAAACATTACGGTCTTGTTCAAAGCAAACATTTTTGGGGCATCGCAGACTATAGTTCCGAACATTCGAATCGAACATTTTGGGCATTAGAGGGAAGTTAAAAACGTACAAACCAAAGTTATTTGTTCATCACAGGTGTAATCGGAACATACGGATCGAGTTCAAAACATTTGAACATTTGGGGCATATGCAAGTTTAGAACCGAACATTTGTGTTCGGCACAGAGACATTTAAATTAAACACAGCTGGGAATCACAGGATGTTCAAAACATTCAAAATATATATATATATATACATATATGTATGTACATTTTTAAAAAACATTTATATCGATAATTTTTGGGCATCACAAGCAAGTTCTGAATGTACGATCCAACCATTCGAATCGAACATGGTTGGAAATGAGTGTTCGAATTGTTAAAGTCAAACATTTTTTCAGGATCACGGTCACGTTCAAAACATTCAAAGAAAACGTTTTTTTGCCATCAATCACAGACTAGTTCCGAACATTCGAAACTGAAAAATCGGAGGAACGTTCAAAGATTTCAAAATGAACATCAAGTTCGTTAACGAACTTTTGACACCATTGGCGTTCCATAAAATGTTCGATTCGCTCCTATGATGTCCAAAACAAGCGGTCTCGAGTCTCACAAGCACTGACAAGTTAAATGAAAGCCTGGAGTCAGAGGAGAACAGCTGTTGCTTATTCCGTACACACTCACCATCTCTTTTCTAAGCAAAGCCAGGGCGGCATCCAGGTTAGCTGGTTTATTCGCCAGGAGACTGTCCGTGTTATTCCTTCCTCGACTCAGGTCGTCCTGAATCATGGTCTTCTTCACATACATCCTCTCCATGTCCCTCCACGAGCCGCCGCTGGAGTTGAGGAGTCCGCTCAGGCTCTTGGGCAGAGGCGGCAGACCCTCAATACAGGCCAGCACACCGCCCGCTGCTCCATTCCCAACCTTACCATTCATACTAACATTCACCAATAACACGCTCTGCTTACAGTCGAGGGTACAGTAAATGCATATGATGGTATTCTTAAAGACCTTTACACCTTGACGTCGAAAAACCCATGTAACAGCCACCGCTCAGAACAACACCTATAATCTGTCGGGCTGGAGTTCGCACTTCCGTTCGCTTTAAAGAGACCCAGCGCAGACTGGGCGTGGCCAATGACGGGGAGGAGGTCAGTGAATATTCATGAGCATTAAGTTCTGATTTAATCTTTTCTTCTTATCAAAGCGCAGCCGGAGCTATGGTGTGGTAACCTACATTTTCATCACATGTATATTGTTTTGGTCAGTGTGGTCGTGTTTTAAAATAATAATAACACACATAAAAAATATATATTCTGTTCTAAAAAAGAGATACTTGTATATTATATTCACTTTAAGAAGTGTTAAAAATAAACATACTTTTATAAATATTTACATTCAATTCACATTCGTATAGCGCTTTTCACAATACACATAATTTCAAAGCAGCTTTACAGAAAATGCAGTCCACATTACACTTTAGAGTGATTTGTTATTATCAGAGGTAACTGTCTAAGTTATCTATTTCAGAAATGTACTTCTACAAAATCAGTTATCTAAAAATGTATTCATTTAAACGATGTAAGGCAGAAACAATGAGCTAACTGAAGTAATGAATACTTGTTTGTTAACAAATGATTATGAGATTTAGAAAAATGTAGCATTGGTGCATGTTGATATAATATAAATGTGTTGCATGCATGTATGCGTGTTATATTCCAATTTAGCGTTGTAATTGTGATTACTGGGTGAAATCCTCTAATGGCAGCTCAGACCTTGGCTTGAAGAACACATGGGCAGGAAATGGCCAGATGAATTGACTGAGGGTGAGGTCAGGGCCGGGATCCCAACACGGAACAAAGGTGTCAGTGGCGGGCAGATGGTGACCGCGATCGGCCACGGATCCGCCCCTCTGACACACACACACACACACACACACACACCCTGCTGCAGCTGGACACAAAGCATTGACATGAGGCAATTACAAAGACAGCATGTGCACACAGACACACAAAGACAGCTCAGATCCTGCTAAACTTCCCTGTCTTCTTTACCAATGAACTGAATATCTACAATCTGGCTGTAACTTGTTATCTGTGTGACTCAGTGAGTTGGGATAAAGATCCGACCAGTGAGCACAAGGTCGTTTTGTCATGTCCAAAAACAACAATGTAAAACAATTAGATAAAAATTAACAATTAGCCAAACAATTCCAAAGTATCCTTTCTTTACCGGTTCTTATGTTGTGCAACACATGAAGTGCCTTACAGTGAATGCTATCACTTTGATTAATTCATTATACATGTACATTATAAATTTTGCCCTAATCATATGTCCTAACGTAATTCAATCATCCTCCAGGAAGTGACACTAATATTGGGTGAGGTAAAACAGCTCAGACACGTGATGGTATTAGCTGATGTGTCAAACTAAAACATTCCATCCTGTTTGACAAAAATACAAAGATTAAATTAACACCTATTTCTAGTGGTTAACCTTTAAAAACCTCATCCATTACTTCGTGAGGCTGCCAATGGGCGGAGCTTGACGTCCAACCACACCTTAACTCTATCCCCAAACCTAATTAAGTTAAGCTCCACCCCTTTGATCCACAGAGGTGGAGCTGGACATGATCAAGCCCCACCCATTCGGCTCTGCACTTATTTCTATCCTGTTAAGTATTTACACAATGACATGTCATTTTAAATAATAATATAGTAATTAATAACTATTAAAATGTCTGAGCTTGACCAGAGCTTATTTTATACGGTTTTGCCGTTTTTCCATTGTTTTTCTATGTAAGTGCACTAAATGGGAGTGTTTGACCGTTGCGCTCGCGTATTTTGCAGCGTCTTGCGCACGACACAGGGTTTTCTAAAAAAGCAGCGCTCAATGCAAAAGTAGTTCAACTTTTAAAAACCAAGACCTTGCTTTTTTTCTGTCTGACTGCTTTTCTATTGTTTTTCTATGTAAACATGTGGTAGATTGACGTCTTTGACCGCTATGTTTGCGTCTTTTGCAGCGTCTCACACAGGACATGTCGTTCTAAATTGCAACGCTGAAGGTCAAATTAGTGCTGTCAAATTGATTAATCGCATCTAACATAAAAGTTTGTATATATATACACAGTATATTATATATTTAGATGTGATTAATCGATTTGACAGCACTAGTTGAAAAATGATCTTGTTTCTTTTCATTCCACTGCTCGTCTCGCGCTTTTTCTCGCTATAAGTGCAGAAAGACACGTTCTTTGTTTTCAAGTGCTCAAGTTTGCGCAACCCACCTGCAGTCCCTCCTGATGACGAAAATTACGCAGTAGGGTAGTACGCGGAGAGTCGCGGACGACCTAAGTATACTTTGGGCTTTAGGGTGTGGGTTAGGGCTTTAGGGTGTGGGTTAGGGGTTTAGGGTGTGGGTCAGGGCTTTAGGGTGTGGGTTAGGGCTTTAGGGTGTGGGTTTAGGGTTAGGGGTTTAGGGTGTGGGTTAGGGGTTTAGGGTGTGGGTTAGGGCTTTAGGGTGTGGGTTAGGGCTTTAGGGTGTGGGTTAGGGGTTAGGGGTTTAGGGTGTGGGTTAGGGGTTTAGGGTGTGGGTTAGGGCTTTAGGGTGTGGGTTAGGGCTTTAGGGTGTGGGTTAGGGCTTTAGGGTGTGGGTTAGGGCTTTAGGGTGTGGGTTAGGGCTTTAGGGTGCGGGTTAGGGCTTTAGGGTGTGGGTTAGAGCTTTAGGGTGTGGGTTAGAGCTTTAGGGTGTGGGTTAGGGGTTTAGGGTGTGGGTTAGGGCTTTAGGGTGTGGGTTAGAGCTTTAGGGTGTGGGTTAGGGGTTTAGGGTGTGGGTTAGGGCTTTAGGGTGTGGGTTAGAGCTTTAGGGTGTGGGTTAGGGCTTTAGGGTGTGGGTTAGGGCTTTAGGGTGTGGGTTAGAGCTTTAGGGTGTGGGTTAGGGCTTTAGGGTGTGGGTTAGAGCTTTAGGGTGTGGGTTAGGGCTTTAGGGTGTGGGTTAGAGCTTTAGGGTGTGGGTTAGAGCTTTATGCTACGTTCACACCGGACGCGAATAGCGCGTCAAATTCGCGCCTACCGCGTCTAGTTATACGCTTGACCACTTTGAATCCATTCGCACGTAAATTGACGCGCGTAAAAAACAAAACTTTGAAGCGAAATTTACGCGCGTCAGAATCGAAACCCGTTGGCGGCCATCTTTTTTTATGTTGATCGAGCATTCATCGAGAGAGTCACCGCTCTGTATTTGCTCTGAATAGCATATATTCTGAATACGAGAGCAGAACGGCGGCGTAGGGGTCATCGTCGCCGTATTTGTGTCCACCAGACCCTTCAAAGGCGAACCCAGTGTGGCGAGTTTCACCATTTGCTCGCTCCAGGAGCTGCGCCTGGATGACGGCCGCTGTCAGCGGTACTTCCGCCTGTCCCGCGCCCAGCTTGATGACCTGTTGTCCCGCATCGGAGCGAGGATCACCCTCGCCCTCATCCACCTAATCTGTCATTTATTTTTGTTTTGATGATAAATGGAGCCAGCCTCCAAAAGTGATTAATCTGTCCTGTGATTTTTCTCTCTCTCACACACATCACTGTCCAGACACGAATGTTGGTTGTCTTTACATTATAATAATATTTCATATAGGCCTAATCTAGATATGGAATAAATAGCATTCAATACAAAATGAAAATGTCTCTTAGGCCTATATTGAAATCAAGTTTTATGTGATAAAATATTTGCTTTGTTGTGTATTAGAACTACATTAGAACCACCGTCAAATTACAAAATAATTTATTGAAGCATCCAGATACTTCACCACGTGACAGCAGCAAGCAGCTAGGCTCCTGATTGGTTAACGCGGCGCGAATTGACGCAGAAGTTCAGATTTTTCAACTCGGGCGGCAGACGCGTGAATGCACAAAATGCACCATTCGCGCATAACGCGCGAATGAGGCGTATTCGCGTCTACCGCGCCGCACTCTACGCCTCATTCGCGCCGCAGGAATTTTTTACGCGCATAACGCGTCTTTGCATTGACTTAACATTGAAATCACTCGCGCCTGACGCGCTATTCGCGTCCGGTGTGAACGTAGCATTAGGGTGTGGGTTAGAGCTTTAGGGTGTGGGTTAGGGCTTTAGGGTGTGGGTTAGGGCTTTAGGGTGTGGGTTAGAGCTTTAGGGTGTGGGTTAGAGCTTTAGGGTGTGGGTTAGGGCTTTAGGGTGTGGGTTAGGGCTTTAGGGTGTGGGTTAGAGCTTTAGGGTGTGGGTTAGGGCTTTAGGGTGTGGGTTAGGGCTTTAGGGTGTGGGTTAGGGCTTTAGGGTGTGGGTTAGAGCTTTAGGGTGTGGGTTAGGGCTTTAGGGTGTGGGTTAGGGCTTTAGGGTGTGGGTTAGAGCTTTAGGGTGTGGGCTAGAGCTTTAGGGTGTGGGTTAGGGCTTTAGGGAGCGGGTTAGGGCTTTAGGGTGTGGGTTAGGGCTTTAGGGTGTGGGTTAGGGCTTTAGGGTGTGGGTTAGAGCTTTAGGGTGTGGGTTAGAGCTTTAGGGTGTGGGTTAGGGGTTTAGGGTGTGGGTTAGGGCTTTAGGGTGTGGGTTAGAGCTTTAGGGTGTGGGTTAGGGCTTTAGGGTGTGGATTAGGGCTTTAGGGTGTGGGTTAGGGCTTTAGGGTGTGGGTTAGAGCTTTAGGGTGTGGGTTAGAGCTTTAGGGTGTGGGTTAGGGCTTTAGGGTGTGGGTTAGGGCTTTAGGGTGTGTGTTAGGGGGTTGTTTCTGTTGTAGCAATTCACCTTTCAGCACACCGCCCATTACTCCGACCTACAGCTACCAAACTTGTTTTTTTTAACAGAGTTCAAAAGGTACCAGAATTGTCCATATGTAAAATTAGGTATGAATGAAAAAAAAATACCACCTAGAGGGTTTCAAGAAGACAAAGGGATACCAAATTAATTAATCGAACATTTATTTCAACAAAAAAGTTAACAAAGGCAACAGTCAAACATAAATCAGGCACGATTTTAAGGTATAAAACACGATAGAAAAATCCACTTAACATTTTAATAACGAAACATTTAAAACACACAAACATTTGAAACCACCTAAAGGGATAGTTCCACCCACAAATGTTGTCATTTACTCACCCTCATGTTGTTCCCCGTCTGAGTGTTTCTCTTCTGTAGAACACAAAATATATTTTGAAGAATGTTGGTAACCAGACAGTTGACGTTAGCCATTGACTTCCATTATATATATTTTTTTCCAACTATAGAAGTCAATGGCTACCGTCAACTGTTTGGTTACCAAAATTCTTCAAAAATAGTAAGAAGAAAGTAACTCATACAGGTTCGGAACAACACAAGGGTGAGTAAATGATGACACAATTTTCATTTTTGGGTGGAACTATCCCTTTAATAAAATTCTAAATTTTTTATTAAAACAGAGTATGAATCAATATAAAACCCCTTTTTTAAACAAAACGTCTGGTCTTAAATTGGCCAACAGTAAATTGTGCAAAGTTTTCAGTCCCAACAGAGAATGATACATCATCAGAACCTGTAGTGCATGTTAAAACCACATGCACACATTATAAGTTACGTCACTGCCTGGAGCATGACAAACACTAAACAAATCACTGCGTCATGCAGGTAAATCAATATTATGTGCTTGGGCCTATAAGTGAACCACGCCAAAACTAGGTGTTCTAGGTGTAACATGAGCAGCGTGACCTCGTCATCAGCCATTGTTTACCAAGGCGGGTCGCTGGATTTGAAACACAACAGTACATCATGACTCTTATCACATGATGTTATCCTGCATGCCTTGATATTCACATCTGGGTGGGGTTCATTTTTTGAATGTGTGCATTCCTCTAAGGCACAAAGCATATGCGAAATTATTATGCAGAAGGCGGCACAAGCTCCGCCCCCACTCACGGGACAACCTAACAGAGCTGTTATTGATGACACCGAGATGAAAACGACCTTGCAAAGCCTGATCCGGCAGAAAAGCTAAGCGCATCTAAATCCCACAGCGGACAGCCAACACGAGCGAAATCCAGTACTGCTGAATCGACATGAACCGCGGACATCAACCCACACAAGGACAGTGACGTCTCTTCAAACAAACTCACTCGGTTTCAACTAAGCTGTCAATCGGTGCTGCTGACCACACCAAACATTCTTCTCATGATGCAAAGAATCTTTTTTTTTACAAAATTGAGGTAGAATAAGTCAGTAATTGGAGAAATACAAAAGGAAATGTGGTACTTTTTTGTGGGCTATTGTGCTACCAACGACTTCTAAATGTATTTTAAGAGCTGTGACTTACAAAGTTATCGCATTGGAAGTAATATTTCTCACCACTATAATATTAAATATGTAATCTTTCCATTTACAGCTATACCTAAGTTTTGAGCACAGGAATCCCATAGAAAACACCTCTCCTAGCTTTAGTAAAGCCCTATGGCCTGTACTTGATGTTTTCAGAGATTACAACAGACAGGAATCTAAATGTTCATTGATTGCAGACTCGGGTACTTTGATGTGGCACACAGGGCAGTGGACAGTGATGTGGACTGGAGGATTGTTTGGAACGGCGTCTCCGACCTCCTCTCTCTGCTGCACTGCGGACGTGGCGGACTCACCGACTGTCCGCTGGAAGAAATCAAAGACATGTTCGGAGATATGCTCTTCCCGTGATCTTTTCTTGGCTCCTGAAGGCGTAGTCCCTGATGTCCGGGGGCTGCCAATGTTTCTAGGGCTCGGGAAGTTGGATTCAGGCTTTCCGGAGTGCTTGGAACCGGACCCTGAAGTAGTTGAAGTGTGTGAACTTTGGGGAGATCCAGTGTTTCGGAATCCTGAGCTTGCAGCATCTGACCCTAGTTTTTGGTTACTTTCGAAGAGCTTAGAAACGTAACCTGGTGTGCTAGTTGCAGACTTTTGGTTACTTTCGAAGAGCTTAGAAACGTAACCTGGTGTGCTAGTTGCAGACTTTTGGTTACTTTCGAAGAGCTTAGAAACGTAACCTGGTGTGCTAGTTGCAGACTTTTGGTTACTTTCGAAGAGCTTAGAAACGTAACCTGGTGTGCTAGTTGCAGACTTTTGGTTACTTTCGAAGAGCTTAGAAACGTAACCTGGTGTGCTAGTTGCAGACTTTTGGTTACTTTCGAAGAGCTTAGAAACGTAACCTGGTGTGCTAGTTGCAGACTTTTGGTTACTTTCGAAGAGCTTAGAAACGTAACCTGGTGTGCTAGTTGCAGACTTTTGGTTACTTTCGAAGAGCTTAGAAACGTAACCTGGTGTGCTAATTGCAGACTTTTGGTTACTTTCGAAGAGCTTAGAAACGTAACCTGGTGTGCTAGTTGCAGACTTTTGGTTACTTTCGAAGAGCTTAGAAACGTAACCTGGTGTGCTAGTTGCAGACTTTTGGTTACTTTCGAAGAGCTTAGAAACGTAACCTGGTGTGCTAGTTGCAGACTTTTGGTTACTTTCGAAGAGCTTAGAAACGTAACCTGGTGTGCTAGTTGCAGACTTTTGGTTACTTTCGAAGAGCTTAGAAACGTAACCTGGTGTGCTAGTTGCAGACTTTTGAGGGCTTCCGAAAGCTTTCGACTTTGAATCTGGGATTTCCGTTTTAGCAGTGCTTCCAAAATATTTGGAGAGATACGACTCTATAGAGTCAAGCTTTGGCCCTGTGGTGGTGGATGAATGATGGTTATTGATCAGGCTTGTTTTCCCAAAAGGTTTTGTGTCTAAGGCACTAGATGAAGATGCTCCATTACATTTGTCAGGGTTTGCTGTCGTGGCATCTGTGGCAGGCTTGGAGGAACCGGCAGCACTGGCTGCTCTCTCCGGAGATTTGAGGACTATGGCCTGGAAGAGATCTTGCACTGACCTCTGCTTGCCTCTTAAGTCTTTGCCTTTGGAAATCCTCACAGGTGATCCGTTGACGTTGATAAAGGCATTAGTGTTGCTAACAGACTTTCTGCGGGGAACATTCGATGCACCTTTGCTGACTCTTTTGGGCAAGTTTGTCTCAATGGGCCATAGTCTTGGAAGGAGCGGAGAGTCAGGGGGAGAGACCAGAGGTTCAGGTTGCGCTTTAGGAGGACTCTGACTCGGCTTGTTTGTGGAAGTCTGCGTGTTCCCTCCAAGAATAAACCCTCTCCCACTGAATGGAATGACATTTCTGATGTCTTGTAAGCCAGTGCCTGAAACACAATACATGCAATTTAATTGTCCAGAAAATCATACAATGTAGCACTATCAAAACAATGATCTTTTGTTTTCTGAGCCATCACTGGCTCAACCAATGTCATAAGTGACGGATCGACGGAATTGTGAACAAATAAACGAACTGTGAATCATCAGTGTTGGAGTCGGCCATTTTATTAGAACCAGGAAGTTATTACATTGGGGTAGGACCATCTGTAAGTTTGACCAAACTTTTTAGGAAACCTGAGGAGCGTTCCCGGCATGTAGGAATTAGTGCAATTACAAGATTCTGACTTGTTAAAAGCATTCATGTCCTCGTAGAGCTTGTAAGTTCAACTTATAAACTTGTACCACATGACCGCTGCAACATCACGTAGAAACACTGTAGTAAAATGTAGTTAAGCAATTGATCTATATTTATGATGATGGATCAGTGAGTTAAAATACCTTTGTTTAATAATTAGGAATTAAGGCTCAGGTATCCTTAAAGGTGCAGTCTGTAAGAACGACAACTAGTGGTCAAAAGCGGCGTTTCTCCCGCCACCTGCTCCTCAGACTGGACGGCGCTCACGCGGGTTGCCAGTTTAAGCACACGCAACAGGAACGAGCGCAATGGAGAATGAAAATTGGCAAATTGGCAACGTGCAGTATCACAGACCGAAACAAAAACAAACATTCCAGCCTGGAAACACACATTTCAAAGTAAAATAACTGGCTGCTGTAGAAGTGTTTTTCAGAGAAAGGAGTATCTGAACTTAGCATGTTTCCTCAATATATGCAAACATATTATGGTATTTTTATGCTTTAGTAGAGTGAAAAGTTACATACTTTAATGTTCTTTGTTCCACTCTGTATGGCGCAATTTAATACATTTTGACATCAAATTTTGATTTAGTTTTAGTCATAGTCTTTTGGCTAAAATGCCAAGTAGTGTCAATGTAAATGTAGCTATTGTGATTGAATCTCTACATTTCCATTTCATTCTTATTCATTGATGAAAAGGTCAAGGGATTTTACTCAATTCAACACAGATTAATTTTTCCAATTATAGTGTTGCCATAGAGTACCATACTATATTTGAACCTATTTTGAATCCTATTTGAAAAATCATTATTCTAGCAGAAGTGGTATAGAAAGTTCAGACCTTATTTTTATTTTTATGTTTTCTATTTAGCATTACCTAGTCTAATTTGCTTTTCAGTGTTATTTTTAAAACTATGCACATTTGTATGAATAAAAGTCAATTTATACATCGTTTAATAATGTGGTAATAGCGAATGGATCACCTGTTGTGCTGCTGGGAGGCTTTGAACTCTTGGAAATCTCATTGGAAGGATTTTTGTCTTTCTTTTTGTCGCCTTTGCCTGTTTTCCCATAAGTCTCTGGCTCTTTGATTTTGGTGTATGTTCCACCGCAGGTCCTTTGGTGCTCAGTCCACCAGAGATCTCTGGCCGAGGGAGGTCTGTTCATCGCACGCTTCACGTAGCCAAAGAACGGTTTGCGATTCTGACAGGGTCCGTTACAGCGCCACCAGTGCTGCCGGTACACATCAACCTCATCGTGAAACGAGTGATATATCTGTGAAAAGAAAAGCAATACACAGAGATTGGTGTCATAATGTTCTGCTAGTTAAGTCATGACGTATAGAAAACTGTTTCCGGGTCCAAACCTCTTCTCCATTTCAAGTGAGAATACTTTCTCAACAATCATTTATGAGCACTATTCATTTATAGTAGATCTATAAGCTAAGTTTACATTACTCCACAGTAGACAACAGAGACTTGGCCTGTTTCTACACAACCAAACACTCCTGGAGGGGCAAGATTATATAATCTTCCAGCTGTTCTTCAGGATTCTTCAGTGAGCGCAGGCCGTGACTCGCTGACGCTGTGGAGTGTGGAGTGACTCGCTGACGCTGTGGAGTGTGGAGTGACTCGCTGTGGAGTGTGGAGTGACTCGCTGACGCTGTGGAGTGTGGAGTGACTCACTGACGCTGTGGAGTGTGGAGTGACTCGCTGACGCTGTGGAGTGTGGAGTGACTCGCTGTGGAGTGTGGAGTGACTCGCTGACGCTGTGGAGTGTGAAGTGACTCGCTGTGGAGTGTGGAGTGACTTCGCTGACGCTGTGGAGTGTGGAGTGACTCACTGTGGAGTGTGGAGTGACTCACTGACGCTGTGGAGTGTGGAGTGACTCGCTGTGGAGTGTGGAGTGACTCGCTGACGCTGTGGAGTGTGAAGTGACTCGCTGTGGAGTGTGGAGTGACTCACTGACGCTGTGGAGTGTGGAGTGACTCGCTGTGGAGTGTGGAGTGACTCGCTGACGCTGTGGAGTGTGAAGTGACTCGCTGTGGAGTGTGGAGTGACTCACTGACGCTGTGGAGTGTGGAGTGACTCGCTGTGGAGTGTGGAGTGACTCGCTGACGCTGTGGAGTGTGAAGTGACTCGCTGTGGAGTGTGGAGTGACTTCGCTGACGCTGTGGAGTGTGGAGTGACTCGCTGTGGAGTGTGGAGTGACTTCGCTGACGCTGTGGAGTGTGGAGTGACTCGCTGTGGAGTGTGGAGTGACTCGCTGACGCTGTGGAGTGTGGAGTGACTCGCTGTGGAGTGTGGAGTGACTCGCTGACGCTGTGGAGTGTGGAGTGACTCGCTGTGGAGTGTGGAGTGACTCGCTGTGGAGTGTGGAGTGACTCGCTGTGGAGTGTGGAGTGACTCGCTGTGGAGTGTGGAGTGACTCGCTGACGCTGTGGAGTGTGGAGTGACTCGCTGACGCTGTGGAGTGTGGAGTGACTCGCTGTGGAGTGTGGAGTGACTCGCTGTGGAGTGTGGAGTGACTCGCTGACGCTGTGGAGTGTGGAGTGACTCGCTGTGGAGTGTGGAGTGACTCGCTGTGGAGTGTGGAGTGACTCGCTGTGGAGTGTGGAGTGACTCGCTGACGCTGTGGAGTGTGGAGTGACTCGCTGTGGAGTGTGGAGTGACTCGCTGTGGAGTGTGGAGTGACTCGCTGACGCTGTGGAGTGTGGAGTGACTCACTGACGCTGTGGAGTGTGGAGTGACTCGCTGTGGAGTGTGGAGTGACTCGCTGTGGAGTGACTCGCTGTGGAGTGTGGAGTGACTCACTGACGCTGTGGAGTGTGGAGTGACTCGCTGTGGAGTGTGGAGTGACTCGCTGACGCTGTGGAGTGTGGAGTGACTCGCTGTGGAGTGTGGAGTGACTCACTGACGCTGTGGAGTGTGGAGTGACTCGCTGTGGAGTGTGGAGTGACTCGCTGACGCTGTGGAGTGTGGAGTGACTCGCTGTGGAGTGTGGAGTGACTCGCTGACGCTGTGGAGTGTGGAGTGACTCGCTGTGGAGTGTGGAGTGACTCGCTGACGCTGTGGAGTGTGGAGTGACTCGCTGTGGAGTGTGGAGTGACTCGCTGTGGAGTGTGGAGTGACTCGCTGTGGAGTGTGGAGTGACTCGCTGACGCTGTGGAGTGTGGAGTGACTCGCTGTGGAGTGTGGAGTGGCTCGCTGTGGAGTGTGGAGTGACTCGCTGACGCTGTGGAGTGTGGAGTGACTCGCTGTGGAGTGTGGAGTGACTCGCTGTGGAGTGTGGAGTGACTCGCTGTGGAGTGTGGAGTGACTCGCTGACGCTGTGGAGTGTGGAGTGACTCGCTGTGGAGTGTGGAGTGACTCGCTGTGGAGTGTGGAGTGACTCGCTGTGGAGTGTGGAGTGACTCGCTGTGGAGTGTGGAGTGACTCGCTGTGGAGTGTGGAGTGACTCGCTGTGGAGTGTGGAGTGACTCGCTGACGCTGTGGAGTGTGGAGTGACTCGCTGTGGAGTGTGGAGTGACTCGCTGTGGAGTGTGGAGTGACTCGCTGACGCTGTGGAGTGTGGAGTGACTCGCTGTGGAGTGTGGAGTGACTCGCTGTGGAGTGTGGAGTGACTCGCTGTGGAGTGTGGAGTGACTCGCTGTGGAGTGTGGAGTGACTCGCTGTGGAGTGTGGAGTGACTCGCTGTGGAGTGTGGAGTGACTCGCTGTGGAGTGTGGAGTGACTCGCTGACGCTGTGGAGTGTGGAGTGACTCGCTGTGGAGTGTGGAGTGACTCGCTGTGGAGTGTGGAGTGACTCGCTGTGGAGTGTGGAGTGACTCGCTGTGGAGTGACTCGCTGTGGAGTGACTCGCTGACGCGAGGCAGAGCGACTGCCGGTCTTCCGTTGCTGCTCAGACTGTGTTTCCGGTAACAACAACAAGATGGCCACAAAAGAAATCAAAAAAGACATTGAGGAGTTAAAAGCAGCCATGAATATGATGGGTGAAGAACTGGCGACTATAGCCAAGCAACAGCGTACTATTTTAAATCTCATGAATGAAATCACAGAACTTAAGAAGCGAAATGAGGAACAGCAGAACAAGGTTAACTTCTTGGAAGCTCGCGTATCAGACCTGGAGCAGTATACGCGAATGAACGACGTTTTGATAACTGGATTGAAGATTAAGCCACGGTCTTACGCTCATGCTGTGAATAGAGAGATACAAGACGAGAGCGCGGACCGTGATGATTCAGCTGAGGCTCAGGTAACAGCCTTCCTCCATGGTAAAAATATATCTATAAAAAATATATCTAAGTTTACATTACAGTCTTCAGGCTCATGACATCTCCAATATTTTAACAATTCATAAAAGATGAATCACTGTTTGGTCAACTGAGATTTTTGGTATAGAGATAAAGGTTAGATCACCGTGAGTGTATATCGGCACCGTTTGTTGTTTGCTTTTGGGATCTGATAGAGCATTTGGACCCGGAAACTGACACGTGACGTCAGACTTAACAACTGGATATTGTTTAATAATCTGATCTGTTCACAGTCTTACAGTGATTTTGGTGCCGCTTGCTTGGTTGATTCTGTCCATGTGTTTGCAGAACTCTGGTCCGTGGCCATCTCGATCTCTGTTGTTTTGAGTCACAAAGAGAAGAGCGTGGATCATCTCATGAAGAAGAGTCTGTTGAAAGAAACACTAACATTAAAATCAAGCTGCAACTGATCATGAAATACATTTAGGGCACTTAATTTTTCAATTTTCCTCACATAAATGTATAAGGTGGAACATGTTATTAGATTAATGATATAGATTACAAAAATAAGAGTTTATTGAACCTTAACACAAAATATAAAAAAAAAGGTATGCATATGTGTTTTATGTTGAGTATCACATTTGATACAATATGGCTTTTATGACTCATACCCAGACAGCAACATAGTGTCAGCCCAGATCCGGCCCACATCTGGTATGTGTGGAATCCACGTGTACCAGATGTGGGCCGGATCTGGGCCGACACCATGTTGCTGTCTGGGTATAATATGATATAGCTAGTGAGAATACTGAATTCACACTCGACTCGAGGAAAATAATACCTCAATTTTATTCAGAGGCTCAAACTAAGCAAAAATGTTCAATTTGTCATTTATATGGTCAAAAAGTAAGATGAAATTATGAAAGCTTGTAAGGTAAATAGATGAGATTTTTATAACTGAATGGCAGAATACTTGCATAAAATGCATATAAATATCAGTTGTCACTCTTTATCTCCCAATACCATAAAAGATTATATTTAAATGCTTAGTTTTAAAGTCAAAGCTCTTAAAGGGATAGTTCACTTTGAAATAAATTTTTGATATGTTTTAGCTTACCTCAAGGGCATCCAAGATGTAGGTGTCTTTGTTTCCGCAGAAGTTTTAATTTTGATATTTTTAGGTCAAACTTTTCTTGTCTGTCAGTCATATAATGCAGGTCTATGGTCACCACCTCAATGAGCATGCACAGAGAAGTCCAAATTAAATATTATTTAATGACTCGTAAATGTAAGTACACACGAAACGAGCGGTTGTAAACACAGCCAGGTCCAAGTGATCTGAGGGCGCGGGCGCTTCGGTCTGTGCGTTACAAGAGGTAAAAACGATATAAATACTGTTCGTTTTCTCACACAAACCGCTCGTTTCGTGTCTTAGGCCATCAGTGTGTACTTACATTTACGAGTCATTAAATCATGTTTAATTTGGACTTCTCTGTGTATGCTCTTTGAGGTGGTGACCATAGACCTGCATTATATGACTGACAGACAAGAACAGTTTGACCTAAACATATCAAAATTGAAACTTCTGCGGAAACAAAGACACCTACATCTTGGATGCCCTTGAGGTAAGCTAAAACATATCAAAAATTTATTTGAAAGTGAACTATCCCTTTAAGGTTTTTTATTTTTATTTTTTTACATTTTCACATGATTTTTTAATACATATATATATATATATATATATATGGATAATCAAGTAATCGAAGTTGCGTAATCCAGTTAATATTCATCTTGAAATATTATGATTACAATATTGAAGTTATTCTTTACGTTATTTTATAAATATCATTAAATATTAAATTTCACAGCACAAAGACTTGAAGGTGGACATTTTTTCACTAAATCTTTTCTTGGTCTATTAAATTTGCTTTAGGGATTTGAGTGTGGGGACAGTTTATTTATTGAGATCTTTAGTCTTGTGTGTCTGGCACCTTGAAGATCGTGAGTGCGGTGTAACTCCTTCAAAACAATATGGGCCCTATCTTGCACCAGGCGCAAATGACTTTGTACACTGACGCATGTATCATTCCTATTTTGCACCCGCGCAAAGCGGACTTTTCCCTCCACAGACACACGTCGGTTAACTAAGAAATACACTTGCGCTCCCCGGGGCGGTTCAGCGCAAAGAGGAGGCGTGTTCCGGCGCAAACTTTCCCTCATGCTATTTTGCTGTTCTATAAAACAATTGCGCCACTGACCAGAAAAAAACTAGTCTAAAGTCAGTGGCGCGTTGCGCGTTGTTCATTATGCTATTTTAAGCGCACATGCTTGGCCATAATCAATGTAGCGTGTGCACAACGCGCATACACTTTGATTCTCTCATCTAAGCAGCAGTTTTCATTTTTGCAAATCATACATTATTACGATAGATAGATAGATAGATAGATAGATAGATAGACAGATAGATAGATAGACAATTTATTATAAAAACATACATGTAACTTACACATTTACCCAAATTATCATACGCTTGTTTAACAGAAGTTAATTTGGGTGGGTTTCTCCATCCCCAATGTCACTTCTCTGTGTTTTACGGCCCTGACGAGAACGTTGCTCTCCTCGGCTGTGAACCGCTCCTGGCGCGCGCCTGGCAAATCCGCCGTTATAATAGGAATCCGCTTTAGAACAAGCGCGCCTGCTCTTAAAGGGAATGTGAGATGACGCTCTGATTGGTTTATTTCACGTTACGCCCAAACCACACCTATGAATAATGAAGCTACTTCAGACCAACCCCTTTTAGATTTGCGCCAGGCGCAAGAGGCATTTATCCCGCTGGGAAAATAACAACAGCGCCGGGATCCGCCCACAAAGTTACTTGCGCTTTACGCTTTGACACTTGCGTTTCAGATCGTTAAAATAGGGCCCTAAATCTTTGCTAAAAGGTCTTTTTCTTGCTGAAAAGTATAAACTATCAATCGGATGACATTTGTCTGGGTTTGCCAGTAAAGTAAAGTTTAGATGTTTTTAGAAAACAAACATCGAAACATAGAAAAGTACGATAGAGTAGGATTAGGTTAAGGAATTTTCATTTTGACTTTAAAAGTAAAGAAAGTCACATTTAACCAACCTGTACGAGATCTTTGCGGGGTCTGAGCTTCAGGAGAGGTTCACTGAGTCGAATAGAACACAAGCCTCCTCTTCCCTCATAAGAGCAGACACCAGCACACCTGAGGGAATCAGACATTAGACAGTGATTACACAAGTCAAAGTCATCTATCTATCTATATCTTTCTATCTGTCTGTCTTTCTATCTGTCTACCTATCTATCTATCTGTCTGTCTTCTGTATTTCTATCTATCCATCTATCTAGCTGTCTGTCAATCTATCCATCTATCTAGCTGTCTGTCTATCTATCCATCTATCTATATCTATCTATCTGTCTGTCTCCTGTATTTCTATCTATCTAGCTGTCTGTCTTTCTATCTAGCTGTCTTTCTATCTATCTATCTTTATACCTATCTATCTATCTTTATACCTATATGGCTGTCTATCTATCCATCGTCTGTCTATCTATATATCTATCTGTCAATCTATATATCTGTCTGTCTATCTATCTATATGTATATATCTATATGTCTGTCTTTCTATCTGTCTATCTATATATATATATATATGTCTGTCTGTCTATTTATTTGTTTAGCTGAGCATTAGACAGAATCCTGTCCGTTGGGTTTGTGACTCTTACAGTGTCATCCTCGGGCTCCACTTCACTTCCACCCCGCTGAGTTTCCCCCAGAAGAACCTGTCGTTAAACTGCAGGAACATGGCTCTCACGTCCGGACTGGGGTCCAGCGTCTCCCACGACTCGTCCACGATGGACAGCGGTCTCTCAGGTCTGGGTCCGGGCTGAGAGAAGGGCATCACACCAGAGGAGTCGATCTTACGCTTTTTACTGGACGGACAGTCTTCATCACTCCATCCAGCAGCCGATGTCTCCTGATCAAACTGCTCTTGCAAACGAAGAGCGAGTAAAAAGTCGTCATCCTCCATCTTCAGTCTTCTTTAGTGCGAATAACGTTAGATCAACTGGATGACAACATCAACCAGCACAAAAACTCCACATTAACATTATAACATTAATCACGACCAACGAAACTCCCACCTCATACATTAAAGGGTTTAATATAAAGTTCGGGCTAATCGAAGGTGTTCATGAATGTGACGATACTGATTAACGTCTCGATTTATTTGAAGGAAACTGTCAGAGCATTTCCACTAGAGACCTTTGAAAAAATAATTGTTGGCCAACCAGAAAGTCAAACAGTGTATTGGGATGCTGGGAAATGTATTTCTATTTTTAAATTTGATAATATACATGAACAGCGAAACACAGGGGATATGTGGATATTACACCGTGCAATGCCCAAAAAGAAAAAAATAGAGTTACAAAAATAGTATAAAAAATAAAAACGTCTATGGCTGTATTACGTGTTTCTTGCGTAAAATGTTGACCGATCAAAACAGTTGCACGGAGTTGATGTAGCTGCTAAACAAATAGTAGAATTAGTATTTTGATATATAATTATTCTACCCGATTTTAAAGTTTGCAAATATTTTCCTTATCAACACGGGGTAATTTATTCATTCTACTCTGTTAGAAACACTTCCTACAAAGGAGGGGGTGCATATTTTTGGGCTTGCTGTTTTACTCAAATTGGCACAATGGCATATTTAAACATCTATAGATGCTCTATATTTGTGAGCTATGTTTGTAATAAAGTGTATGAAATAAAACATATGTGAATATGTCTGTTTTTTAATCACACTATTTATTTGTTAAATCTCATTATAGGGATATTACCATGGACAACAACAACAACAAAATGCATGTAAAATACACCGAATGCAAACAACTACGTGTTGCTAGAGGCAAATTTTATCAGTATTTTTAAATTATTCAAACATATAAGTGCGTGAATCTTTGTTGTTGTGTATTTTGAAACGTTCGCTCTTCACGTGATGTGAGTGACGTCACGGGGAGGTGTCGCGAGTCTCCTGTAACGAGGAAGCGCTCTCTCTGCAGCTATACTGCAATGACTAGCTGATTTACACAAAATTATATTCACATTTGTGTTTCTTTTATACATATTCTTTCGCCGTAACATCCAGAAAAATGGCAGACACTGGAAACCGTTTGCGTAAGATGCTGGAATCCCCTAATTTTGACCCTCAGTCGCACGTCAAGCAGCTCTCGCAGCAGTCCGACGGGGACCGAGATTTACAGGAACACCGTCAGAAAATACAAACACTCGCCGACGAAACCGCACAAAACCTGAAGAAAAATGTTTATAAAAACTACAGGCAGTTTATTGAGACAGCCAAGGAGATTTCATACCTGGAAAGTGAGATGTATCAGCTCAGTCACATTCTCACCGAGCAGAAGAGCATAATGGAGAGCATTACACAGTCTCTCCTGTCCACGGATAAAGACGAAACAGCCAAAGAAATGCTCACAGCCTTCCCAAAGGAAACAGAAGAGGTCAAACAAAGAACCCTAACCACGCTTTTGGAAAAAGTGGAGGGATGCAAGAACATCATGGAAACCCCCGGCAGATATCTGGTCTACAATGGAGATCTTTTGGAGTATGACGCGGACAACATGTCGCAGATCCAAAAGGTCCATGCGTTTCTGATGAACGATTGCCTGTTAATTGCAACCTGGCTGGCGAACAGACGCGGCGCTGTGAAGTACAAGTACAGTGCGCTGTACGACCTGGAAAGCTTTGCGGTTGTAAACGTAAAAGACAACCCTCCGATTAAAGACATGTTCAAAATCCTCATGTTCCCAGATAGCCGCATCTTCAAAGCTGAGAACAGCAAGATCAAGAAAGAGTGGCTGGAGATCCTGGAGGAAACGAAGAAAAACAAAGTAGCGAAAGACAAGCACACAAAGGAAGAGGAGGTGCCGACGTCGCCGGTCAGGCAGGACGTCTCCACGAACCCATTTGAAGATGACGAACCACTAGATTCAGAGGAACTGGTGGATCTGAGTCCCGAATGGATCCAGGAGCTTCCGGAAGACCTTGACGTTTGCATCGCTCAGAGAGACTTCGAGGGCGCTGTTGATCTCCTAGACAAGCTAAACGAATATCTGAAGGAGCAACCGGTGAGCCCGCGGGTGAAGGAGCTCAGGGTGAAGGTGGAGGAGCGCGTTCGACAGCTGACGGAGGTTCTGGTGTTCGAGCTCTCGCCCGACCGCTCTCTCCGCGGAGGACCTAAAGCCACACGGCGAGCCGTATCCCAGCTCGTCCGCCTGGGCCAGTCCACGAAAGCCTGCGAGCTCTTTCTGAAGAACCGAGCCGCGGCCGTCCAAACCGCCATCCGCCAGCTTCGCATCGAAGGAGCCACGCTGCTATACATCCAAAAGCTCTGCAACATCTTCTTCACGAGCCTGCTGGAAACCGCCAGGGAGTTCGAGACGGATTTCGCGGGGAACACCGGCTGCTACTCCGCCTTCGTGGTCTGGTCTCGTTCGGTGATGAAGATGTTCGTAGACGCCTTCAGCAAGCAGGTGTTCGACAGCAAAGAGAGCTTGTCCACCGCCGCCGAATGCGTGAAGTTCGCGAGCGAGCACTGCAAGCAGCTGAGCGACATCGGCTTGGACCTGACCTTCATTTTACAGTCTTTGCTCGTGAAAGACATCAGGGCGGCGTTGCAAAGCCAGAAAGACATCATCATAGAAGCGACCAAGCATCGCAACTCTGAGGAGATGTGGCGCAGGATGAACCTGATGACTCCTGAAGCCCTGGCCAAACTCAAGGAGGAAATGCGGAGCTGCGGGATCGGCGGGTTCGACCAGTATACGGGAGAAGACTGCTGGGTCAACCTGAGCTACACCGTCGTGGCCTTCACCAAGCAGATGATGGCGTTCCTGGAGGAAGGGCTGAAGCTGTACTTCCCAGAGCTGCACATGGTGTTTCTGGAGAGCCTGCGGGAGATCATACTGGTGGCGGTTCAGCACGTGGACTACAGCCTGCGCTGCGAGCAGGAGAGCGAGAAGAAGGCCTTCATCCTGCAGAACGCTTCCTTCCTGCACGAGACGGTGCTTCCCGTTGTGGAGAGGAGGTTTGAGGAGGGAGTGGGGAAACCAGCCAAACAGCTCCAGGATCTGAGGAAGAGCTCTCGGCCTGTCAGAGTCAATCCCGACAGCACCATGTCCGTTGTTTAAATGGGAATCAATGAGACTGAGGATGCACTACCATAGAGGTCTTAAAGTCTCAATGCATTTCATGAAGTACTCTCATTTCATGACTCGTTGTTGGTGTCGTGACGCACTCCTAACTCTCACTGGAAATATGGATTCTGTCATTATTTACTTGCCTTCGTGTCAAACCTTTGTTGTTGTACATGAAAAAAATAAGAGAATTAAAAAAACTCTTACAATTTTCAAATGGGCTCAAGCTTAAAAAAAAAACAACATTCATTTTTTTTTTTTCATCATCCAAAAATCAATGGTAATGGCATTGAATCAATGTTACAATGTGATGTTGGTTCAACAAAATGAGAATTTAAAAAAAATCTTAAAATTTTCAAATGGGTGTCAAGCTTCAAAAAATGGCAATAAAGCAAAATTAGTCCATATAGTCTTAAAACAACAGCATATGGGTTTGAAATAAAATGAGGGTGAGTAAATAATCACAAATAGCAACTTTATAACACTTGCATTTCATAATTCTATTAATTGTGCTTTATGTTGTTTAATCATTTATAATAAACTATATTATTAAAGTAAATGGGAATTAATATCGCCCTACATGTTGAAATATAAAGAATATACCACTGCATTTGTCATTTCAGTCAAGCAAAAAAAAATTTGAGGTAGACGTGAAAACACTTATTTTTACTGCTCTCTTTTGACAGTTTATAAACTTGAGACTTGTAAAAAAGCAAAGTGCGTAAAACTCGCTTAACATGAATATGTTGTGTTGATTTGATCCTGTGCTCCAGATGTCTGAGCTTTTAAATGTAGTGCCCCCTGCTGTACAGGGAATTGTTGAATAAAAGTATAAGGCTCAGTTCAAAATCCCAAAGCCACAGTCTTGACAACAACACAGAGTTAATTAAAAATATTCCCCTTTCATCTGTTTCTCTTTCACACTGCTGTTTCTGTTCTCTGTCAGACTGCATATGCTTGATCATATATTCACAAGACCTTTTTGTGTTATGTTTCTGTTGTTTTTTAAACCCTCTTGACGCATAGACAGGATGATAATATGAGGAGAAGGTTTGATGTATATGAGACTTCGATGGATTTAAAACAAGAACTTTAATGCATCAGTAAAATCTAACCTGGTTATTTGATCCAGTATGCATCAGCCTCCGGGTTATGACAGGAGATGATTTTTCCTTTGGCAAACCCCCAGCATAATCTCGTGGATCAGTCTCGCGCCTCTGAACAACACGACAGGCGTGTGTGAAAGAACAATAACGTCTGCCGTCGCTGCTGATTGTCAAACCAAATACTCTGCACTGCTCTATTAGATTACATTACACTGGACATTAGTTTATTGAAAATTATTTTGAGATTTATGCATTTTCTATCCTTTCTCTCAATTTTCAAATTCTCTCTCTCTCTGTGTGTATATATATATATATATATATATATATATATATATATATATATATATATATATATATATATATATATATATATGTTAGTGCTGTCCAATTGATTAATTGCAATTAATCACATCCACCATAAAAGTTTTTGTTTACATAATATATGTTTGTATATTATTATATTTATATATATTATTTGTGTGTATATGTTTGTGTGCGTGTCTGTGTTTATATAAATATGCACACATATATGTAAATCTATAAATATATGCGTGTGCATGTATACAGTATACACACAGAGAGACATAAAACATATATATATATATATATATATATAGGCATATCATGTACATTAAAGACAAACTTAGGCGTTTATCAGTTTGACAGGACTAATAATATATGTGTGTGTGTATACTAAAAAAAAATATAGATAGCCTATTCAATCATTCAATTAAGTAAACTATTTTAATCTAAAATTTTAAATAATATAATTAAAAATAAAACAATACAGTAAAAATGGGCCCTAAAACAAAACAAAAATATACTATAATTTGTAGCGTACATAAGAAAAATCTTTCACTTTAACTGACCTTTTTTGTCTATTTCAAGAAAAAAAAAGCCTACTATAACTGCTTTATAGAAATACACAATATTTATTTTTATGGATTTATTTATTTATTT